TGTGACACTCGATAAAAACTCTAGTAGACCGGTGGCTCAACAAGAGTATGCTAGTGTAATAGGATGCATGATGTATGTAATGCATTGCTTTAGAATGGATCTTGCTTTTGTTGTGAGTAAATTGAGTCGATATACTAGCGATCCAAGTCTAGATCATTGGAAAGCAATCATTAGAGTACTAGGTTACTTGAAAAGAACTAGTGATCTAGAGTTGACATATGTGATACATCTAGGGATATTGGAGGGATATTTTGATGGCAGTTGGATAAATCACTAAAATGATTCTAAATCCACAAGTGGGTGGATTTATACTCTTGCTAGAAGGGAGATTTCTTGAGCGAGCAAGATACAAACGTGTATCACGTATTCGACTATGGAAACCAAATTCATTGCCTTAGCGGCTGTACGCAAAGAGGTCAAATGGATTAGATATTTGTTTACTGATATCCATTTATGGCATCGACCGAATCCTTCGGTTCCCATGTATTATGACAATGAGGTTACACTGTCAAAAAGTATATAAATCCATGTATAATGGGAAGTCGCAATATATAAGTCTCCGACACAATTACGTGAGACAATTAATTGATGATGATACCATTACTATTGTGTTTGTCAAGTCTTGTGGGAACTTGGCAGATCCACTAACCAAGCCTCTAACGAGAGATTTGGTCGGATCAACTACCAAAGACATGGTCTGAAACCACGTAGAATCGGTTAGTGATGGGAACCCAACGTGGATTTAGTGCTCTTATCTACCTAGTTTAAAGGATAACAACAATTGACTTAACTGATAGAAGGTACTATTGTCTGATAGATCCATGTAAGGTAAATGATAGTATGTCGTTGCCGAGAATAAGGATGAGTTAATCTCTTAACAAAGTGTAGAGGCATCTTAGCAACGAATATCTTACAGAACTTTGCCTATATGACTAAGAGGTGGTGTTGCCTAAAATGGAGAGTTATGGTTCCTTCCTTAGAAAGTCAGGAAACAAGATTTAGCGCATGGCTATATTCGCGCTCAATGAGAAAGCAAAGATGATAGATGATATGTGTTAATAAGCCGAAGTGATTATAAATTCAAGGTTTAAATCCTAAGGATGCTATTGAATTGATCTTTTCATGCATACGTACATCAAACAGGGTTTAATCTCAATGATACCACTGTGACATCGTCTTCTATGAATGTCAAAAAACTTTTCAACCTAGTGGGGGATTCTTGGAAATTATTGTGAGGTTGGTGGTTTTTCTCCATCCCACATAGGAAGGAAGATAAAATTTAGAGAGCCTTATAAGGATTTTACATCAATTAGGCCTTAAACATAATAGTGGGCTCATGGTGGGAGTCATGAGTGGAAGGTCCAACAAACACATTCATGTGTGGCCATGGCCGAGGTCAATGCCAAGGGTACGAGCATAGGATTCGTGGAAATGGTGCGAGGAGGCGCACTTTGTACTTTATATGATTTCAATTTTTGAAAATAATTTAAATTAATAAAACGTTTTTAATATGAAGATAATTCTGTTGGAGACTAAGTCGTCCAACCACCTTATCTTCCCTAATTCTTTGGGATGATGATTAGCATTAAGAGAATTTAATCCCAATATAAAAATTGGGTTAAACCTCTCCACACGAAAATCTGCAATTCTCTCCTTTCTTTGTTTTATGCTTCTTGTCACACTCTGTCGAGTTTATTCCTTTACGGTTTATGTATCAACTTTTCTTATAATTACGTTATTATAAGTTGTTGATAAAGAAAATACGACTGCATCAAATCCTGGGGTTTTGCGATTATAAGACCCACAACTTAATAGAGTGGTCATACAAAACCTTAAAGACAAGTTCATACCGTGCAGATTTACTTGCTTCCCGTGACACAAACGAAAGGTTAGTCTTTAACTATTGTCTTGCAATTTATTTTTTTGTTCACTAAGTGACTGCTTCTACCCTTTTTCTTTTACTGATTATATCGCAAAGGGTAATTTTCAGTCTTTATGATATCAAGCGGTTTGGGTTCCACTATTTTGGATCATGTAGTCACCATCTTGATTAAATAAGATTTGGTTTACAAGTTTTCTTATTCATTAATAAAGTTTTAACTTTGATTATAAAGGTTCGAACTTTATTGAATTTTGACTAATACAATTTTTTTCAACACAAATAGCACAAACCCGTCTCCATCAAACCTGTAACAAACAAACAAACAAAACCAATACAATATTAGTAAGAGTTACTTTTGTAACAAAAAGATATTAAACACCAATGTTTATCCCTTCAGTGATTCAACTTGGATAGAAAAATAGATCATTCAGAGTCAATGAAAGTTCATCAACTATCAGAAAGGTAAATAGGTAGAAGCCATATAATAAATGAACCAAAAAACTCGTGAATAACTCGACCAATTGAATGGATGCTATGAAAATCGTAAACACCTTCCAAAACAATCTCTAAACGAAACTCAAGAAACAATGCTTTTTCCTAGGTTGGAATCAAGGAGAAGGCCATAATTTCTTCAAGAAACTCTAGAAGATATCTCCATCCAGAATTTTGAAAACCCAAATATTAAAAATTGCATATATTTTTTATGTTTTTTATAGATATTCTTTAAAGTATGGTTGGCTTGACAAAGGAGAATACAACAGCACCTGGTACAATTTATTACTTGGAATTATGAGATAAAACAAACTATATTTTGTTCAAAAAGAGAGGTCAATCCCATGTAGCAATGGAGAAACCAAACCATGTAAGAAAATCATTGAAGAAAACCATAAATAGAAACATAAAAGAAAAAAAGGTTTCAAAAGAGAGGTCAAACCTAAAAAGCAATAGCGAAACACAAATTTATAGTAAAGAAACCCTGATTCAGGCATGAAACCCAGAGAAGGCGATTCAGGGCATATCTGAGAGAGTGTGAGGGTGGAGATGAGGAAGGAAAAAAGCAAAATATTTCATTAACGTCAATCTTGAATAAACTGACTTTTGAATGCAGTTGGGAAATCAATAAACACCTTCCGACCACGATAAATGCGTGACTTGGTTCAACTAAAAACATAAATTTTCTTGGGAGTCAGAATACGTATCAGGAGCCAAATAGATATAAAGATTGAGTTTGAAGTAGTACCTTGTGCTTCTTAACTTGTAATTAAGAGATTCATGATATTATGCATAAAAAAACTAATACCTTATGTATTTTGAATTGTTTTTAAGAATTTGTTAAAAATATTTTATAAGATAGATATAGATATAGATATAGATATAGATATAGATTTTTTGATTTTAAATTGAATAAAAAAATACAATAACCATTTTACATAGAATTTGATATAATAAATATCATTTAGAATGTTGGATAACCTCGTTGCTGATTTTATAATTCAAAAATATCTTTTTTAACTTTTAACCAGTTTTTGTTGTTTTCTTATATTAATAATTAATAATTAATATTAGAATCTACTTTAAAAATAAAATATGATGTAATAATAGTTTAGTGCGTATGTTACTTTTTAGGCTTTCTTCCGCTTCCTACTTTTTTTTTTAATTTTATGATAAGATGCTTTCTCTTGCAGATGACAACAAAGACACAATTGTTGGTTTAATCTTAATGGACGAGGTATAAAATCATAATACAAAAAGGTTTTCTAGATTTTGATTAACGCAATTACAGAATGATGCAACATATAATTTAAATCGAATCAATCCAATTTATCATATTAATTAAAAAAAACCTTAATAACAGTCTGATAAACTTTAAGATCAAAATTGATTTGAAATTGCGAAATGAAATTGATTAAGATTGATTCTAGATTAAAAACCTAATCAATTAAGCTTTAAATCATATACAAATAAGATCAAATCATCAAAAATTATAAACCCAAACTTGTGTTGTTCGTATTTTTCATAAATTCGGAAAATCTTCAAACTCTTCAAGATTGTTGTTCATTTCTTCATCAAATCCACTGAATCTGCTATGATACCAATTGATAATCTCATAAATGAACAAATAACAGTGAAATCAACATAATATTGATGGAGAATCTCTCATTATGTATATTAATATTTCTAGAGAGAGTTTATATAAAAAGATTTTCTAGATTTTGATTTGAAAGTTTTTATGCTCAAATTTTATATGTAACTCATTTTTAAGTTAGAAATTTTCATGAATTTTGTGTGTTATAAAGTAAAAAACAATTACAAATGTATCACAACACATGAATATAGCAAGACATTAATAAAAATAGGAAAAAGATCAGTGTAAAGCCATCTTTTTGTCATAATAACACAACTGTATGCAACATTTCTACACTGCATGCGTCGTGGAATGTTGGGATAAAAGTCGTGTCTCACGCCCTATTAAACGTGTGGCATGTCGTAGCTTAATGTGAGATTTTTATATGATATTTAATTTTTACCTTTGAAGTGTCTTATTTTTTAGTTTTTATCATATAATCTAATTTAAATTGTTTGATATCATTAACTTATAGAGTAATTGTAAAATTTTCCGTCATAATTCACGCCTTGAAAATCGTCGTGGCATTCACTCCTAAGAGTTAAGTTTAACCTCACTGTCATGTCATGCCATTTAAAACCTTGCTCATATCTTCAGAGTAGAAACTTTGTAACATAAACAATATGTATTTTTTTTTAATTAACCTGGATATCTAACCCGCTATGCGAGCCGACTAATCCCAGGGCGAGGGCGACCATCTGCTTTACAGATAGCCCAGAGTCACCGCATTTGAACCTCCGTGGCGACAAAAGAATTTTTTATTTCTCCTTGGATTTGAACCTGAGACCTCCTGATACTTTACTCAAAACAATCAGGCACCACCCTTGTGGTTAACAATATGTATCTTAATTTATATTCTTACAAAAAATTTCAATACGGATCACAATTGAATTAAAAAATAAAAACTCTTATGGATTTCTAAGTATATGTATAAGCAGAAAATAGATCAACTCATAACTGAAAATAAAGATCAAAATATACATGAAATAACGATTGAAAAAAGTCTAATTAAAAAAATTGTCTAATTGCAAATCAAATATTTTCAGTTGACGATTTAGCCCTACAAAGCATCTCTCCGACTCTCTCTTTACAACTTGAAACGGTTGCAGTTACGATGTACACTTTCATTTCCATATTAATTCAGAACACGAGTAACATGTGATGCAATTTTTAAGAAGATTCAAGAACTATAGCTCCCGTAGTGTCATTGACGTTGTGAGAATGGTTGTGTTCGCCTTCGTAGGTTACAATGAGCATCGCTGGATCATCCAATGCCTTTTCCACATGTTTTCTTGCAGGACAGCCTCTTAAACTGCTACACTTATAATAACCCCTGAATTTACATTAACAAAAACAAATTATTCATATAATTATAACCATTTTAATTATTTTAAAAGAATTAAAATAATTATGGTATGGTTTACAACATGTTGAATCAAATCATATATTTAATGTACAAAAATCACTTTTAAGATTATGAGGACGTGGACACCAATACGAATAAATAAATTCGAATGCTAGGTCCATTATCGTAAAATTATTATTTATAATACGATAGTTGACTTTTTCGGTTTGAACGCTGACTATATTTTTGTTTTCAATCTTGGAATAATACTCTCTAATAATTGATAAGTGATATGGTGGATTTTCTTTTATTATTTTTTTTTGAGAAAAGTCTACTTAATTAATTGAGTTAAATTACGAAAATACCCATAAACATGAGTCAAATCTTTCACTCTCTTTCGAGCGACCCCTTTGTCGAGAAAATAAGAAATATACCGATTGGTCAACGGGTTAGTGAGTTGGAGAGACTCACTGAGTTAACCAGCCAGTTTCTCCGATATCAACTAAAACTATAGACAAGAAATTTACCTTGGATGTGGCGAACCTTTGATTGGCTTCTGACCGTATTTCCTCCATGAGTAGTCGTCCGGTGGTATATCGGCCATCTTCATGCTTATCGCCGGCACTCGTACAATCCTCCTCATCTTCGATTTCCTGCAAATTGATCAGATTAGAAAAACGCCCAATTTTTAATGATGAACTAGAATTGATAGTTAAGAATTGGGGTTAAGGTAGGTAGGATGGATGTTGATTTACCTTTTCTTTGAACAATGGCAGCGCCCAGAAGAATTAGCGCATTTGGTGTGAGAATCATCCATGGAGTTGCATTTCCTTTTGAAGGAGGAAGAAGACATATTCGGCTGACCGGCAGAGGAAACCTGAGACATATTCGTGATCTGAAAACCAGAAGACATTGATGGCTGGAAACTGTCTGTATCTCCGGTCAACGACGACATGAAGGAATTCGCTTGAGACGCGGCGGCAGCAGCAGTGGCGGCGAAATTGATAGTAGTCACAGGAAAATCCTTCCGATCAAAGGATCCCGATTTCACCAACGGATGGTGGTGAATCGTCTGAGAAGACGGTGGGAGACGCTGCTGAATCGGCGCAGGGGAATACACCTTCTCCACCGTCTGATGATGGTGCGGGTTGGTGACGCCGGCCGCCAACAGCGCAGGTTTCTCTTGCGAAACAGGTGGATTACAAACAGGGCCGCGTCTGAAACGAGCGTGACCGGTGCGATTCCGATCGAGTAGAGAGATGAACTTTTTGAACTTGGTGACAGCAACATCAGCGACGGCTACATAATCGGTGGTAGCAGAAGAGTCGGCGGGGGGAGAAGACGATGATGATGACGTCGTATTGGTTTGATACGATTGGTTTTGTGAAGAAAGTAATCTGATGAGATTCTCAACGCTTTGAAGACCGGCGGCGGCCGCTTCTTGAACGGAATTTTCATCCATTTTGGTAAGTAAAGCACCGTTTCTGTAAGCATTCATCAAATCGACCGCCATATGTATTGAATTGAACCATAAATTGAAAGGGGGGGATTTAAAGGACTGGTTTCTTCTTCGTCTATCGGTGGTCAAACCCTCAAGCCAATAATGGCTCTACGTGTGGAAAATGGCCGGGTAGAGAAAAGGTCAAAATAGACCGCATTTTGGGTGGATGAATCGGAAAATATTTATATAATTCGTCCCTCGACTTTGCTACTTTCGTTGCAGATAATCCTTTTACATTTCATGCTTTTTTATTACTTGCGTAACCCTTTACCTTTCCAATAAGACGGAATGTAATAGCATATTTCCAACACCTTTTTCAAAATTTTGTCAAATTTAAAGTTAAAAATTAAATAGTAAACTATAATCTTGGTCCTTATGGTTTACATCAATTTTCGAAAGTGATTTTTATACTTTAATAACTACAGTTATCGTCTCTGTAAAATAAGGGGTATTTCAGTCTCTTTACCCCTTCTTACTAATTTTCTATTAAATAATAAAATACTTATAATATATATATATATATATATTATTTATATAGAGATGAGTTATTATGCAACCTTTTATATTTGTATAACTAATACAACTCAATCTCAACCGTCCATTTAATTTGATGAATATGTGATTTCATAAAAAATTGATTGTTTCCTGATATAAAGTATTGATAATAATTATTGAACTCTAGCGATCTTCCATAAATATTCAAATAATAATAAATGAACTCTCATCATTTCCATAAATATTTCAATTGATTGAGTCGCATTGGTCCCATATATATATATATATATATATATGTGGATACATATATACACACTCTAACATTCCAATGAGCTCTTAACTGACCACAACTCTTTCCCTTCGAACTTTCCGACGAACCAACACCACCTCCTCCTTCTTCGATCTTTCACCCTTAGCACTTCCCCCAACTTACTCCTCTGGTTGAATGGTTCAGAAACTTGCTCCTTCAATTGAATGGTTCAAAACTCACTCCTTCGAGCTTGATTTACGGCCAAACATGTTTTGAGGTTGGTGATGGAGGCGCTCAACCAAGTCTATGCATCAAAGTTAGAGCTCCAGTTGTGTTCCAGGTTGAGCAACTCTGGCGCCTCTCAGCCCTGTAACCCCAGCACCCCTCATCCTTGAGACTTCGACTCCCTCAACCCTAGCTACCCAGATGAACGCTCCCCTCCTCGTTTTTTGTTTGTAAATTGAAACCTCATCTCCTTTTGATTTAGTTTGATTAAGTTTTTAGGGTTTGATATAAAGAGATTTAGGTTTGGTTTTAGGTCTTGAGTTTGTATATTGTTTTAGGATTTGAGTTTGTATATTTGATTTAGGGTTCTTGTTGTTTCACAAAGTCTTTTAATAAGGCTATAATTTCTTCAATATGATTTGAAATACTATCTAGTGGCTTGAATTTGTCTATCTTCCATTGCGAAAGAATCTTCCATCTTTGATGGCTTCAAATAATCGGATGTTTGAACCTTTGATATGCTTCAGTTGATTTATAACATTTATAACTTACCTAATTCTTCAATTGATTTATAACATTCAATAGATGAATCTTCGATGGCTTCAACTGTGCTTTGGCTGTTTTCTCCGTCTTCCCCAAAAGCAAAAAAACTTCATAGTTGGTCTGTGGAGGTGGTGTTGTGGTTCTGTGGACGATAGAGGTGGTGGATTGATGGTGATTCTGTGGAGGTGGTGCAACGGTGGTCGATGGGAAAGAAAGGCAAGGATGAGGGTCTCCGGTAAACAATGAGATTGGAGGTGGGATTGGGAGTCTGTATGTGTGTGTATATATAATAAATTTTTAATTTTTTACATAAAAATAGTAAAAAGGGGTGAAAAGACCAAAATATCCCTTACTTAACGGACAATTTTAACGAAGATAATGACCAGAGACGATTTTCAAATCAAAATGTAAAAGTAGTGACAATAGCTATAGTTATTGAAGTTTACAGACCACTTTCGAAGATTCATATAAACCATAAGGACCAAAATTGTAGTTTACTCAAAATTAGATCTTTAAAGAAAAATTGTGTTTAGCATATTACATCTTTGGTCCCTAAGGTAAGTTATTTATTACGGATTTGGTCTTTTATCTTCATTTATTACAAAAAACCTTCAAGTATTCAGTTTGTTATGGATTTGGTTCCTGAGGCAAAAGGCCGTCTATTTTTTGCCTTTAGCTCCCACCACGTGTGATGCACATGAGAGTAAAATGGTCAAATCCTTTTATTTCTTTTCCCCCTATTTTCTTCTGTTTTAGTAATCAATTCCCCCGATGAAAATCCTTCACCATTGCCACGCATTGCACACGACATCCCTCTAGTTTGTTGTTTCATCTTCTTCTCAGTTCGAATTTTTTTCTAGCTTGACAATGTGGATGATTCGCCTCAGTAACTCACCTTTGGACCCATATAAAGTTTGTAGTACGTCATTTGTATTCACATCATTGTTTGTTGATGTCACTGATGTTTTCGTTCTTTACTGAATTTTTGATCATAATTTTATTTTCTTTGTACTATTCAAGTCTGATACCAATGAAGGTTCACCATGGTGAGGAGTTTTACCAATAGTCTAGGTAGGAAGTATATCGTTTGTAAGGTTAACTATGTTGATCTAATAGATGTTGATGTGTTGAGTGTTCATGAAGTTAATCCAATGAGGATAGATCTATGGTATAATCCTAAAGACAAAATGTATTACCACTTTATGGTACCAAAATCTAACCTATTCTTCGGGCTTGAAGCTTTAATCAATGATCATGACATTTTGAATTTGTTTAAGTATACAAGTCAGTTCAAAGTTATAGATATATACATTGAACAAGGGACGACTAACCTGCAAACATATGAAAGGTCCCCCAATTGTAGGAAAGTTGTTATTAGAAAAGTCCTTGATAATGAATCTCCAAAATTTAATATGATGAGAACTAGATAAGGTTGATGCTTCTTCAAGAGATAAGAAAAAATTATTTCTTGAATTAATTGAACCAGTAGAGGGTGAAAATTCGATTAAAAAGGTGCCTACACGGAAGGAAAAGATTAAAGATAATGAGAATTTGGTGTAAACATGGGTAAACAGGTGCCACTAGTGGATAAACCCTTGTCATCAGTGGATGAATCTTTGGGTGAATATGTGCCAACCATGGATGATCAATTTCCTACTTTTAGCCACGTTGAGGACTTTCCTTCTTTTGTTGGGAGAGATGGGGAGTTTCACGAAGATGCAACATCAAAAGTTGACAATAAGTGCACAAGTAAATTATAAGAGAGTAGTGATGAACTTGAATTCATGATGGATAGACTAGACATGGTAGTAGATATAGAGGTATACATGAACAAAGGGAAGGGAAAATCATGTGTAGAGTTAGATGATACAGACAAAAAGGAGGAGTTTGATGATATAACTATTGACATGGAGGAATTTGAGAGTGGTGAAGAGTCTGACTTTGAAACAAGTAGGAAAAAAGTATTACACAAGATTAAAAGATTTCATGAAGGATTGAGAACACATTTTCATGTTGGTCAATTGTTCTAAAGCAAGGCATATATAAAACATGTAATTACAGAGATTTGAATTCAGGCAAGGAGGGAATTGGGTTTAATAAAGAATGACAAGACGAAGATGAGGGCAATATGCAAAGGAAAGGTTCTTCAAATGGGAGGGACAAGTACTCATGGGCCAACCTCTGATGGGCCTGATGATTCTAGAATTTCCGAGTCAAATTCAACATGTCCTTGGGTATTGCTTATTTCCAGAGACAAAAAGAATCATACTTGGACAATAAAGACCTACAAAGACGCTCATACATGTTTACAAGAAAGAAAAGTGAGGCAGTGTACAACTATTTTTCTCTCTCAACAGGTTGAAGAGACCATTGTTCCCAACCCTAAGATCCCGATGAAAGCTTTGGTAGAAGGACTGGCTAGGAAGTATAAACTTTGTGTAACAAATACGAGGCTTATAGGAAAAGGAAATTTCAACAAAGAAGGTGGGAGGTGATTATAGTGAACAATATTAGGGTTTGAGAGACTATGTTTTGAAGCTTCAAGGAGAAAGCCCAGGCACCACAGTTAGGCTAGTAGTTCAAAGTGAGCCCATCCTAGACACACCACAAGGCAGTTCAAATATATATACATATATATTGGTGCACTAAAGGTTGGATTCAAATAATGTGGAAAGAATTTGTTGGGTCTAAATGGATCTTTCATGGAAGGACCTTATCTAGGCCAGATTTTGTGTGTAGTTGGGGTTGAACAAAACCAAAGTATTTATCCTTTAGCTTATGCCATAGTAGAAGCTGAGACCAAAGATTGTTCTAGATGGTTCATGGAATGCTTGGCTGATGACCTTGATTTGACTAGATCTTCCAATTTCACTTTTAGTAGTGATAGGCAAAAGGTCATGTTTCTAACTAGTTTACTTAACTGCATTTTTTACTAGTTCATTTAACTTGGGTGATGACATTGGTTTACCTTGATTTGACTAGAGGATTATACTAGCACTTGCTAAGGTTTTTCCATATGTAGAGCAAAAATTCTGCCTTAGCACATATATGAGAATATGAAGAAGATATGGAAGGGAAAAATATACAAGGATCTATTATGGAAATGTGCAACAACACCAACACTTCCACAAATTTAAAAAAAAATGCATGAATGACTTGAAAGCTTTGAATAAAGATGCTTATGTATTGTTAAAAGATATACCCGATGTTTATTGGTCTAGAGCCCACTTTACAGGTACATTTACTTCTTCATTAATGCATTTATGTTAAAGTACTTTGTTATTAATAAATCAGACCTATTAACTAAAGAATTTTAGGTGATGACATTGTACAGGTAGACCTCATTGTGATGTTTTATTGAGCAACATGTGTGAGGTCTTCAACAAGCAGCTTATAGATGGTAATGGCAGAACTATCGTAATAGCATTGGATTACATTAGAGGATACCCGATGAAGAGGATTTCTAATGCAGAAACAACGACCAAGATTTTGAACTCAATTAACGTATAAGATGCATAATTTGTTGTTATTT